AGTGCAAAGGGGTGGCAGACAAACAAACAACAACTCGAAACAACAAAAAACCCGCATCAGGTGTCGGCGTCTAACATCCTCACAAGGGCAACTTATGACACGACGGAAACTTGTGTCTTCTCTGTGGCCCAACTCTTTCCCTTCAGGATGCAAAAGATGGAAGAAGACTGAGACATTACGACAAATAAAGACATAAACTTTTTTGGGGTGACATACGAATTCATATTAATCTTCAATCATGAATAAGTGAAAAACAGACAATAAAAATGGTTAACTAATAAAAAAACTAAACTTGAAAAGAGCTTAAATGAATTCTAAAATTTAATCTATACTAAGAATTAAAGAAAACTTTTAAATGAAACTTCCTTAACGAAACAATATCAAAAGTATATATAACTAAAAACAGAAAATAAAAATGAAAAAACACAAAAGGTAAGTAAAAACACACACATAACTCATAAATTAATGAAAAATACTAAAGGTGCACCCTACATTCCACCGGCTTTGAGAAATATACTCAGAAATTACTATAAGTGTTATACAGTCCTGGCACTTAAAACTACAACCTAACGTCTAAATTAAAAAGGTTTTCCCGCAAATCGTACTCTGTGACTTTACTGATTTCCTATCAATTTTTTCTTTAAATCTTTCTTTCAACTCAGTTCTTTTGATAAAGACAAAACGGTATTGTCTATAATTGACTCACACTACATACTGATATACACCTGAACATCACACCTGAACATCAGCAGGAGAGGACTCTTTAAAGTAGAGACACTACATACTGATATACACCTGAACATCAGCAGGAGAGGACTCTTTAAAGTAGAGACACTACATACTGATATACACCTGAACATCAGGAGGAGAGGACTCTTTAAAGTAGAGACACTACATACTGATATACACCTGAACATCAGCAGGAGAGGACTCTTTAAAGTAGAGACACTACATACTGATATACACCTGAACATCAGCAGGAGAGGACTCTTTAAAGTAGAGACACTACATACTGATATACACCTGAACATCAGCAGGAGAGGACTCTTTAAAGTAGAGACACTACATACTGATATACACCTGAACATCAGCAGGAGAGGACCTTTAAAGTAGAGACACTACATACTGATAT